AGTTATAAATCAGTAAGTTATAAATACCAATGGGAATGCAAATGATTTTTCTCCATAGTAGTGAAAATTATCTGCTGGAGATAGAGTTGATTACTGCACTATGGATATAGACCAGTTTTGCTTCTATGAGGCAAATTTTAGTGTTCCTGATTGGCCATGCATCTTGTTTTTTGGATTCTCCTCTGAATGTCTTAATGATTCACTTGTTCATTAATGAGTTAAACAGAATTGATTGCATAAACACTAGAACATTAAATGTACATGCTTGAAAAATTAACAAAGGTTTTGGTCAAAATGAAGGCAAGCATTATATATGAAGCAAGTGGTTCACCTGGCAACATTCCCAATAAAGAGCTCAGAAAGCATATGGCAAGAGTGGAAGGGAAGGGCAGGGTAGGACTGGTTTAGGACCTAGATGTGTTCTTTTACTATGTGCAGTTTGCAAAACTGTTAGTAAATATCCTTACACTAAAAGCTTTTTTTTTTTTTTTGAGAGAGAGAGAGAGAGAGAGAGAGAGAGAGAGAGAATGAGAATGTACAGCTGCACACAAGGGGGTGGTGGTGGTGGTGGTGGTGGCAGAGGCAGAGTGAATCCTAAGCAGGCTTCATGCCCAGAGCAGAGCTCAGCACAGAGCCCAATGTGGGACTTGATCTCATGATCCAGATCATGATATGAGCCAAAATAAAGAGTTGGACACTTCAAAAACTGAGCCACCCGGGCACCCCAAACTGAAAGGTATTTTAATTTTTATAACAAATAAACATCTCACCAAATATCTTGGCATCCTCTACACATCTCTGGGTTCGGCGCCTTATGTTTTCACCATCAGCTACAGCTCTCTGGTATCTCATCTAAACAAAAGCAGAGTCAAAATGATCAGAAAACACATGCTTGCTGGTGGGAAAAAATGTTTTTGCTTACTTTATAAACTTCACCCTTTTGATAGGTTTTTATAAAAAAAAAAGTTAGGAGCTGTAGGAATCTTAAATCAGCTACTACAAATCCCAAGTCAAAGGAGGAACCTACTCTTTACAGCAGCCCTGATAGGTTGTCATTCAGCCTCCTACTCTGAACACTTAATAGTTTTCAAGCTCATTCTCTTCAGAGAATGCTTCCTTTTTCACATGCAGCCAATACTGCCACCCTCTTTCTTTCATTGAACTGAACTCTAGGACAACCAATAGTAGGTTTTAAAAATGTGTCATCTATTTGAAGGCACTTAGTTTAGCTCCTTTAATCTTTTCATCTTTCATTCTTATAATCCTTGATCTCTTTAATTGCTCTCATAAGACATGCTTTCCTACCTCCTTACCATTCTGGGTGGTCTTGCTTTGAAACTTCTCTAATTATCGCCCTCAAAGCGTGTCTGTCAACCCAGTAAGGCAGAGTATGCCAGATGTAGTCTGACTGGCAGAGTACAATGATAAATGACACACTCATTCAACAAGTATCTACAGAGTTTTTACTACACGCCACGTACTGTATCTTCTCTGAAGCTACCATCACATCAGGTATCTAAGTACTGTGACATAACATGTTTTAACTACTGTAGACTACTTTGCCTAATATACTAAGCAAGAGTAGAAATGGGATAAGAGGTAAAGAGCCAACTAGAGAAATTTTAACTAATTATTTATTTATTCATTTATTCATGAGAGACACACAGAGAGAGGCAGAGCCACAGGCAGAGGGAAAAGCAGGCTCCGTGCAGGGAGCCTGATGCGGGACTCGATCCTGGAGCCACTCAACCATTGAGGCAGACACTCAACCGCTTGAGCCACCCAAGCGTTCCAGAATTTTTTTTTTTTTTTTTTTTTGCGTTCCAGAAATTTAATCTAAAAAAAAAACAGACAGAGGGGATGTGAACAGACAAAATCTACTCACTGTTAAGTCCTGGACTTCCTTCTCCAGTTTCACAGCTTTAAGCTTTAAGGTTCGTTCTGCAAGAGAGGGCCCAAGCTCATCGGGAGGGTCCTCAGAACTGCAGTCCTCACCAGCAGTTCTCTGGGTGGCAGTGCTGAAAGAATGTGGCCATCCCCTAAAGAGGGAGGGAGGTGATACATGATGAAGGAACGCCATCACACACAGCCAAACTGCTTGCAGTCACAGTAACAACACGGACTTACTAAGTGCCAGACACCACTGTCAGGTTTTACCTAAGTCATCTTTTCATCTCGCGGTGTGAGAGAAAGTATATTACCATCTCAATATTGTAAATGAGAAATCTGAGGCTCAGAGAGGCTTCTGACTTGCATCAGATCACAGAGCTAGTAGATTCTGTTGAACCAGGATACTGAACACAAGGCAGCACAAATAGCCAGAAGTGAGGACACAAGAGTCAGCAAGAAAAAACCAAGCTCTAATACCCAGAACCAGCAGGGCAATATCAGAAGTAGGAATGCAAAACACAAATCCTTACATTTCTGATTCAAGCCTTCATTTTACAAATGGGGAAAATTAAGCCCAGTAAAGGGACTGTTTTAGACTGGAGTCAGGCCTAGAGTTCTAAAGTTTTCTTGACCACAAGCTCGTAAGTGGGGCTCTTATGAAAGAGAACCTGTGTTAAGAGAAATTCTGAGTTGGGAACTCACTTCTATGTAAAACCAAGTCAATTAAATACTTATAAAACACTATACGTTCCAGACTGTGAACTACAAACAGGTGAATAAAATGCGTCTTTGTATTTAATCATGTTTGTAATCCAGAATTTCATACAGCTCAAACGTCTGACGTATAGTTGTTTACAAAGGAAGGCATTTAGAGCAGGGACTACTTTACACATCTTGGTTTGTAGCAGCTGACTCCTCTTTAAAGGAAGTTTCCATTACGCTTCCTGGATTCTTATAATTCGATTTGAAGTAAAATCAACAAAATCAATCTGTGAATACAAAAGGTCTGTAAGACAAATAGTTTACTCATAGAAACTGGCGTATTTTGAAAAGCAGTTGTGAGGTGACATCCGTGCAAAGAGTTAAAGGGGGTAAAAGGAGTTGGCTTCAAGAAAGGGAGAGGGAACAAAGCTATGGGCAAGAGGACTTTCCAGGCCGGCCCTGCACTCAGTTATTACAACCTGGTGTCAGATTGTATATGGTTTTATATTTTTAGTTCAGAAAACATGGTCACCGTAGATAATCTGGGATGAATCACAAAGGATGAAATATCTCCTTCCTCCTAACAAACTACATTTATCCAATTGAAAGTAGGCCAATGTACTCCCAGGGCCAGTTTAAAGAGAAAATGGCCAAAACCCAAGTCTGAAGAGGAGAGCCGAGGATGACCCCTTCAATTCAGAACTGGAGCGAGGGGAAATTTTATCAGAACGAAACTTTCTTCTTCTGGCCACTTCCCTACAATACAAACTGCCAAAAAGACTTAAAAAGCCGGAAGCCCGGAATTCAACCTCGCACCCAGGTGCCAGGTCAGGTGCGTTAAGATAAAAGAGGTGACACACAATCACGCGAAATTCCAGATTCCCCGCAGCTTAATTTACATTTCAGAAGTTCAACCTTTACTCACCCTACAACTCATTTTTTTTTTTTATATTCTTTCTGAGGAAGGAGCAGTTAAACACGGAGTCGTCCCTGAGAATAATGAACACCGCTCGCTAATTAAAAGCTCCGATTCTAGAGACTGGCTTCCAAGCTGGGTCCCACGATTACCGAGTATCGGGAGTCTGGAAACGTTGCGGAACTTTACTGAACCTCGGTTTTCTGGGTTGAACGAGAGAAGAGAACTAGCCATAGGGTTCTACAGTCGGCAAGAGAAGTCATCCCTCAAGGGTGCCGCAGCGCCAGGTGAAGAGCAGGAAACGGAACTCTGTGCACACTCCGAGGGCAGGTGGAAGGGCGGACTCCAAAGGGCCTTGCTTTGGAGGCCAAGGCAACGACCTTTTAGCGACAGGTAAAGCGAAGCCGAGGGAATGCCCAGGGGACGGCCTAGGGTCCCACAGAGAGTCAGCGGGGAGGACCCCGTTTTCACTGCAGACACCCCAGTGGAGGGAAGGGGGCTGGAAGACGTACACCCCCAATTCAACTGATGCTCGGGGCTGAACAGTTCCCGCCTCCGAGGAACGTGACCTCGGCTCTTACCACCTTCCTTGGCCCGGCAAGAAGGCGAAGCGGTATGCCTCAGTTTCCTCCTCTGTAAAATGGGGCCGTAAGCGCCGGATCGCAGCAGCCGAGGCGTGGTGGGTCACCTCGCGCCCTCCAGTCCGCACCCGCCCTTCCAGCTCGCTTGTCTCGCACTATCCTCAATCCCCGACCGGGGGCCTGCCTCGCTCACCTGCCTTCAGACGCTGCCTTCGAGGCCAGGAGGCGCTGCACCAGCCGCCGGACCGCCCATACAGACCGCGCGGCCATATTCCCGATCTCGGCTGACGGAGGCAGCGCATGCGCACTTGCTCCAAATGACGGGCTGAGGCGAGATACCACGCTTCCCGGCAGCCTTCGCGGGCGCTCCCCGCCCAGAGCCCCCGGGAACGGGAACGCCACACTTCCGGTTGTCCTACCGCGCGCGGGCGGGCGCATGCGCGCGGCGCTCGTGCCTAGCCGGCGTCCCCGACGGAACGCGACACTTCCGGTCCTCCGCTTGTTGGGCGCGTCGGGCGGGTTCGCGTCGCGGACTGGGGCTGGGTGCTGGTGGGGAAGTCGGCCGCGGACGCTGGCCGGGGGTCGCAGCTGTCCCCGCAACGAGCTTAAGGGAAATTGTAAACAATACGTGAAGATATGGCGGGCGTCGGAAGGTCGGGGCAGGGGCGCGGGGGGCGCCGTGCCGCGGAAGCCTAGACTACGTGGCCGCCGAGTGTGGGCAGTGTGTCCAGAAGAAGTGATGCTTTGACCTGAAAGCTGCAGAATGAGTAGATGAAAAGAGGAAGAAGGTGGCTCGGGTAGAGGTGAACAGCGTCTGCAAAGACCCGGTCGAGGGGAAGAGTCTTGTGAGCAAGGCGCTGAAATATTGGGGGGGGGGGGGGGCACGCAGCGCAGTGAGCGGAACGGATCGCGCGACCGGTTTAAGACAAAAATTGAAGCCCGACTCCGCCGTCACTCTTACTTGTTGTTGTGTCGTCCCCCCCCCCCCCAGTTTCCTTGTTTTCTGACTTGGCTGTGTTTTAAAATGTGGAGTATTTTCTCGTTTCCGTTTACTAGAATGTGAGCTCCGTCAGGGCAGAGATGGGTTGGCTCTATTGCCAGGGAACGGTGGATCGGTGACTTTAGTCCGAAAATGTTGTGTCGAAGGAGCTGGAGCCTTAACTCTGATTGACCTTTACGTGTTTAACAGGTCGCTTTGACTCCTGTGTGATGGAGATTGCTGGGGTCTAAGCAAAGAGGTAGGGAGACCAGCGGTTGTAGTTCGTGCAGGGCTGGGGGTGGGGGGCTCTGTTCTGTGCTGGAGACCCCGCAAGAGGCCTTTGTAACGCCCTACCTAAAGCAGCTACTCTTTCAGGTGTGTGTCCAGCTCATTTCTGGTTCCACATTCTGTTTTGTTTTTTGTTCTCCCAACTAGAGTTTCAGCAGAAGCCTGTCGGTCTGGTTCAGAGCCGTGAGTGGTTTCTGACGTCCAGTGTACATAGTAGGTTCTCAACCAGTATTTGTTGAATGAATCAAATGGTCAGTGTCCGTGGAGACAGGAGGACGTGAATGCATTGTAGAGAGATTTAGTACGAAAAAGTGTCAGGAAGTTAGGATAGACTGGTGATCGGGGTTGAGGGCACTTGGGAGTTGCCACACTAGTTACTGGACAGTCCCTAAGGTCCAAAAAAATTATTTAAGGAATGAGAAGTGTGCCCTCATCATTCTAAATCTTCACCATAACACGGCTTACTTGTACTGTAGCTCTTTGGGTCAGATTTTTCTCTCTGCTCGTCTTGTGAGTTCCCTGAGGACGGAACTGGAGACTTCTGCATCTTTATATTCTGTCCGTGGCCAAGCCCAGATGCAATGTAACCAACACCTGATGTTTTCCTTTTGGCCTCAGGAGCAGGGCAAACATGGGTTTTTTTTTTTGTTTGTTTGTTTTTTTGCAAACATGGGTTAAGGAAGGATTATGATCCCCCTTTTACATTTGAGAAAAGTGAGGCTCAGAGAGGTTGGTAAGCCTGCTCGGGGTCCCCCACTGAGGATTCGGGGACACTAGAAATCTGATAGCCCCAACACTTGGCAGTGTTGGGAAGGATGGAGCTTCAAATCCACCCTACAGCCATGAGCCTATACCTTGGAGAAAAAAAAAAAAAGGCTTTTTAACAATGAGGAATGGCATCTATGCTTTAGCCATTTTGTTACACATCTCTTAGCTGACTAACTTACACCAAATGTGCTACATGCGTTCATCCATTCATTCATCTATTAAGTGCTAGTGTGCTTCTGAATGCTGCAGTGCAGGGGGAGTAGGGTAAGACATGGATGAAATAGAACCTTGGAACTAAGAGGAAGGGCTGCTCGCTCTACCCCTTCCTAACTCTGGGCTCCAGTTTCCCAAACTGAAAACTGAGATAATGTAACCTATCTCACGGAGTTTTAGTGAAAATGAAAGGGTTAATGCTTGGAAAAGTCATTAGTTAGTACCAGGACTGGCTATGTAATTTAAAGGGTAAAAGGAAAACGTGACACCCCTTGTTCAAAAATTATTAAGAGGGCAACAGCAGAACATTAAACCAAGGCCAGGGCTCTACTAATATTTGTGACCGCACAGGTTGCATACCTGCACTTTGGCTAACACAGTACCTGATGCATGGAGTGCTCAAATGTTTATTATTAATTCTCTAGTGTTCCTCCTCTCAAGGACCCCCAAGATCTATCGGTGGGGAAAGATGTTCAATCCCATAATAATTGCCTGAGAAAGAAAACACTGAGGACATAATCGGAGTGTTGGGTATCATTCCAGAATCCACATTCTAAAAAAGAATACTAACAATCCAGATTTTGTGAGTCCCTTTTTTACCAAAGATGCTTTAAGTGGAATCTGGATGAAAACCTGTCAGTTATGGATTAGTTGCTGTTTAGCTTTATGATGGCTGTGATTACCATATAAACATAATTTCTTCAGTGGAAAGAACACAGGATTTTTAGTCAGACATTTCTTATCTAGCTAATAATAAGAGCCACTATTGACTGAGCTTTTCTTTCTCAAGACAGTGTGCAAGATGTTTCCCATGTACCTAATAGTCTTGGGAGGAAAATAGAACTGTTAACCTAGGTTTCTCAGATAAAGAAAACGAAAACCAGAGAGGTCAAGTGACTTTCCCAGACTCACCAGCTGGTCAGTGGCAGAGGCAGGGCTCAAACCCAACCCTGTCTGGATATAGGCTCATAGGCCCTAAACCTTATGCTCTGCCACTGACCAGCTAGGTGATTTTGATCAGGTTATTTTCCCTGCTCTGTTCTCCAGCTACCTCAAAGTGGGGTAAAGTTCAGATAACTCCAAAGTATGTAAAGCCCTAGGTAGGGTAAAGTATATGAAGCCTCCAGCAAAGTGTCCAAAGGTTATTCTGGGATTTTCTTTCTCTCTTGGCCCTAACCTTTGAGCTCTTAACGGTTAACTGGTTTTATCTTTTTTTGGAAGGAAATGTAAAGACCTAAAAAGTGCCTACACTGTTTAGAAAGTAGTTAGTTGAACAGTAAGGAGACTGCCCAAGACTTGAAGTCCTTGCTTCCCTATAAAAGTATCAGGTGTTAGTCAAAGGCACTCACAGCAGAAAAGAGCCACTGTCATTTGAGTGTCCCTGATATTTTTACTTGACAGCAGATACGGAAGGGCAGACTGGAGAGCCTTCAAGTGCAAAAATCAGGATAAAGATTTAAAGAATGTCACTTGGATTTCTAGCCCTAGCTCCTAGAGCCTGAGTGTCATAGGAAATGGGTAAAGGACTGACTGACCACAAATGACCCCACCCTACGGTACCTGCAACATTCTGTGGACATTAGAAATCCATGTTCCTATCACTATCACTTAAAGTGAGCTGAAAGTAAGTCTGCTGCTGAACTTCCCCTTGCTTACTGTGTATCAGCTCTCTAATTTGAAAACAACTCAACTGCGGGATTCTAGTAGCCAAATTGGTCCAGTTCTGGAGCACATAAGGAATGATGGCAGAATTTGGGTGTTGTCTATAGCTTTTGTCCACCTTTATGCAGGCAGGGAGATTCTATTGATTTTTCGGTCTGTTTATGTTGTACCGGGGTTGTCAGTAATGCCCAATACGAATCCAATTGGCACAAGTGTGATCAGATGATTGAGTCTTATCTCTTTGTCTTGTACTACCTACCAATGCTTCAGTGCTGTCGTCTTTGCCCCAAAGTCTGGGAGTAGGATGCTAGAATGGTTTGGATTGGCTCATTCATGTGTGCTTTCATTTCTTCTTCACAAGTGAAGGTAAAGACATTTAACAAAACCTTTACAACCGCACAGATTTCTGTCTCCCTCCACCCCCGTTTCCCACCCTCTGTGAAGTTATGAGGACACTCTCTATTTCCCCCTTCCCTTCCACTTCTTTCTTCCCTCCCCATATCCCCTATAATCATGCAGACAATAAAGGCTGGTCTTTTGGGTGCTCTGGAGAGTGGGGGCTACTTCCAGTCTTCTGGCATCTCCTTGTGAAAAAAAGTGTTTTCAATACAATCTTGTGTTTCCTTCAGAATGAAATCTTCATCCTTTTTCTAGGTCTTCTTCATTTCCCATTCCTGAAGTCCAGAAAGACAAGACAAATCAGGTTGCTGAATATTCTAGTGTGATTTGCAGGATAAAAAACATTCTACTGGACCTAATTACATAAAGATCTCCACTGGCCAGATTAGAAGAGCCATGGGTCCTAATCTCATTCTCCTTTGGTAGCCATGGGCAAGTCATTTTTCCACTCTGGGCCTCATTTTTATGGGGGCTCAAATATCTTTCTCAGAGAAGGAAGCTGAGGCCAGTCTATGCTTGGCTCTAATGCTGGGATGGGGTCAGGTAGGAGGCTGACAGAAGTCAAAGCAGTTTGGTAAGGAAGGGTGAAGGTAGGCAGCCCACCCTTGGAGCCATGTAGGACTTCATCTGGGAGGGACACTGAAGTCCTGGCCAGTAGTGAATGGCTTTTTGCCCACAAATGATGCCTAGGGTTTTCAGCCAGCTCTGGAGGTGATAGTGTGAACGAGAGTGAAATGGGATGGTTCAAACATTCTTGCTGGGAGGGTTCCCCACTCCCAACCTGCTCTTCTAGTCTTTGCCATCTAAACTGCAGCTGCTCAGGGCAATAACATAGGAGTCATCTTTGATTCCTTTCTTTTCCTCATCCTCCACATCCCCATCAGTTAATCCTTTGCCTCTACCTCCAAAGCCAGCCACTTCAAATCACCTCCACCACACCTTTCTCATGTCTCATCTAGGTGACTCCAAACTGGTCTCCCGTGTCCCCTTATCAGTTCTCAACATTGTTCCAGATTGGGCAAGGGGAAGGGTGAAGGAAGGGGAAGGGAGGGAAAGAATCTTGAGTAGGCTCCTTGCTCTGTGTGGAACCCAGTGCAGGGCTCAATCTCATGACCCTGAGATTGTGACCCTGAGGTCACAACCTGAGCCAAAATTAAGAGTCGGATGCTTAACCAACTGGGCCACCCAGGCACCCCCGGAATGGTGTCTTAAAAATGTAATTCATATCCACAAATTTTTTGCTCAAAATATGCCAATGACTTTCCATTATGTTAGAACAAAATTCACGGTTCTTCCTATGGCCTACAAGGATTAAAGAGAAGCACACTGGCCTATAGGCCATATCTGGCCCACTGCATATTTTTGTAACATCCATCAACTGTGGGAATGGTTTTCACATTTCTAAATGTTTGAAAACAAATGAATAATTTTTCTTGACGTGTAAAAATTTTATGAAATTCACATCTTGGCATCCATAAATAAAGTTTTATTGGAACACAGTCATGTTCATTATTTGTAAGTTGTCTATGGCTACTTTCCTACTATGTTGGCAGAGCTGAGTCATTTTGAAAGAAACTGTGGTGCACAAATTCTATATATACCTTTACAGACCAAGTCTGCTGATTTCTAGTCTAGATGATCCAGCCTCTGGCTGGTTATTTCTCTAATCTCATGTAAGGAAGGGTGAAGGTAGGCAGCCCACCCTTGGAGCCATGTAGGACTTCATCTGGGAGGGACACTGAAGTCCTGGCCAGTAGTGAATGGCTTTTTGCCCACAAATGATGCCTAGGGTTTTGCTCAGGTGTTTGTTTTTCAAGTCAACAATTTCTTATCCCCAATTCTGAAATCCAGAAAGCCCTGAAACCAAAATATTTCTCAAGTGTTTTGGCACAAACTCCATTGGTGGCAAAATTTGACCTGAACTGATTGATGTGAGGCTGTTTATGATCTATATATTCCACATGGTGTGAATATTCATGTGCCTTGTTGTAGAATTCTTAACATGGTTGGTTTCAGGGCACTTCTAAGAACTCGTTGGGGTTTTTCATCATATACAGTATATGTACCATATTACCTTTCTAAAATCCCAAAAGTTCTGGAAGACAGCTGGCCCCAGGATTAGCCTGTGGGCCAGGATCATGGAGTGAGCCCAGGACTTAGAATTGGAAGAGGCGCCTTTGTATCCCAGTGCTTGACACCCTGCATAATCTTGGGCAGGTCCCATCATTCTCTGATCTTCAGTTTCCTCATCTATGAAACAGGGCCTTTCCTGTACCAAATCCACCGTAGGCTCAGGATCCAGAAAACTGAGTTTGTTAGAACTGTATGTTAAGAATGAGTAAATATGTTCTGAATGAGATTGAGGACCTTTTCTGACCAAACTTCATGAGTTTTACTGTGTGGATGTGTTGGCAATTCAATTCTCTGCCTTTCTCACCAGCTGGTTTTTGGGTTCTTGTTGACGTTCCACAGAAAGGAGGCTGCCAGGTCTCTGAATTTTAATTCACTGAGCTATTGCTGTACCTTGGCTTTCTGTAGCACCCTTCCTTGGTTGGAGGTTACGATGGATGGGCTTCTCTTCCTCAGCTCCGAAGTACAGTTGACAGGGAGAGGCTGCTCTGCGGCATTGTTCTGGGGCTTATTTGCAGTTTCCTGTTGATGAGGAGAAATAGTTACAAAGGTGAGATCTAATGCTGGCTAGCACTCCAAAAAATGCAAATTAGAAGGCATTGTGCATATATGCCAGCACCAAACTGGCAAGGGGAGGAAGACCCTTGAGGGTCTTGGAATAAAGGTAATGATGTCTAAAATTACCAAACCCTCTCTATGCACCAGGCTTTTGGTGGATTAGCTCATTTAGCTTTTCCAACACTATAAAGTAGGTACTATTATTAGTCATCCTATTTTACAGATGAGGAAAATGGGAAGATCAAGCCACTGCTCAGGGTCACACATCTGGTGAGTGGGAGAGTCGGAATTCAAACCCCACAGCACATTCTTAACCTCTCCCCTATATTCCTTCTCCTCTACAACGCCCTCACCCCTTAACTTTTCCAGATAGCTGCTTAGTACATTACTGGATGTCGTTCCTTTAGTGTGGCATATTAACAGCTAAGCCTGCAGGGAATTTAGAGAAGACTAATCTTTATTTCCAAAGGCCATTAGAAAGGATCACAAAGTGGGAAAAGCTCTCTGGAATGTGAATTTCAGGGCACACTGGTCGGAGGAAGCAGCTGGGATGAGTGAACCACTTCTAGCTCCTCCTCCAGCCCTCTGTGAGTTTGTCTCTGTCCTTTAAGCTCTTCATCTGTAAATGAGGTTGGAAAGCCCCTTGGAGAGGATGCCCTGGGGCAGAAGAAACCGCCTGGCTTCAGAGAAGCAGGGTGTGGTTTGACCAGGCAGCTTGGCTCCTGACTACAACACTAAGAATACAGTTCCCAGTGACCACCCAAACGTATCAGACAAGTTATTTCATCTGAGTGTCCATGTCCTTGTCGGAAGGCAGGCATAACTTTTATTCTTTCAATAAACATTTATTGCACTCCTATTTTTCAGACTCTGTTAAAGGGCTAACTAAGGCTGTAATGATAAAACAAAATCCAATTTTTACAACCCAGTGGGCGAGACAGACATTAGACAAGTAAGGATACATACACACACACACATATGTCCATATACACGTGTATACACAAATTGTGCATAAGTGCTATGAGAAAGAATAACACATGGGACTCTTGGTTGTTTAGACCAGTGGTTCACAAATGGGAGCCCTTCCAGGGGACATTTGGCAATTTCTGGAGACATTTCTAGTTGTCAACTGGGTATGGAGTTATTGGCATCTAGTAGGTAGAGGCTAGGAATGCTGCTAAACATCCTCCTACAGTACACAAGGCAGTCCCCTATAAAAAGAATTATTGGCCCCAAATGTCAGTAGTGCTGAGGTTGAGACTCTCAGATGGAGACAGAGGTCAGCTAGGTTTTCCTTGAGGAGGTCTCAATCCGGGTAGAGTATCTACCTTGCGGGGTTGCTTGGAGCATTGGATGCAAAGGCCTGTGGACACAGCCTGATACACCCGGGACTTTAAGATGGGGGACATGTGTACTGTGGCTAATGCTGGGATCTGGAGTCAGACTTCCTGGATTGCAAATCCTGTCTCCTACTTAACTGAGTAAATTTGAGTAAGTCATTTAACATGTCTGACCTCTGTTTCCTTGTTCATCTAGTAGCTTGAATACACCTAGCACTATCTCCCACCATTGCCATGAAGATCATATGAGATAATAGAGGTTAAAATGCTATACGGACCTATGGTGGTTGTTCAAACATGTTATTCTTACTCAACATATCGTAGTTAAAATTATCAATAACCTGAAGGCTACTTCGGGTTCAGGATAAAAAGTCAAATGGTAGGGCTGCAGAGGAGACAACATAGGCCAGAGAGTCCCCTTCCTAGTGGTGCCCTGTCCTCTTTGGGAGACTCTCTTTCAGTATGTTCCCTCTCCTCTCTGGGTGTCCGTTTGGTCATCTGTAAATGAGCATAACTCCTACCCTCAAACGATGATCATGAAGCTTGACAGCAAGTGAGGGGATTAAGAAGCAGGTGCCCCTGGAACAGAAGGGCATGGACTCACCCCACTCTTGTTCTTGCTGCTCACGGAGAGCCCCAGCGCCGGGCCCCCAGCCAGGGACTGCTGCAAGCGCTCCTTCACAGCCACCAGCCGCAGCTCCAGGTCAATCCGGCGCTCCTCCTTGGCCCGACACTGAGCTTCCAGGGAGGCCACGGCTTCCTCCAGAACCTTTAACTTGGCTCCTGTATCCAGAGACATCGATGAGAAACCGCCGAGCCTGGCCTGAAGCATCAGGGGGTTTGGCAGGACCTCAGGTTCTAGTCTGTCCTTTCCAGAGGGCTTTTCCAGCCCTTTGTCAGGATTAAGAGATGGACTTTGGATCTAAAGTTCCAGCTTCATGCTGGGTTGTATGGTTTTTACCAGCCCTGGACTCATTTCCCTACCTTCTGGATATAGAATCCTGATTTTCCCCAGGGAAACCACCTTTCTCCTCCCCTTCCCTATAATTTGGATGGAACTGACCTCAATTTTTGTTCAAGGGGTTGGCACATAGTTTAAACCTGGCCCATAATCATATCTCCATTTTCACAGTGGTTGGTTTAGAGTTGGTCCAATCAGAGTGAATTCTGAGGCTTTTGTAGAGTCCACTGGGAAGAGAAGTTTTCTCTGCTGGAGCAGCTGAGAGGACTAGGTGAGGACCAGGGCTGTGCAGCCATTATAACACCATGAAGGGCACAGAATGAAACCAACATAGAGGAAGGCAGTAGCCAGAATTAGAGAAGTATACTTTGTGATGACATCATTTAAATCCCTGGACCTTGCTACACCTGATCACTCAGCTTTCCAATTAATTTTTTTTCCTTTTAAGTTAGCTCTAAGCTTAATATGGGGCTTGAACTTATGATCCTGGTCAAGAGTCATATGCTCTACCAGTTGAGCAAGCCAGGCACCCCTACATGTTTCTTTACATTTCTTTAAAATTTTTTTTGAATTTTTTTAAAAAGATGTATTTATTTTAGAGAGAGTGAGCACAAGGGGAGGGGCAAGGGAGAGAAGCAGACTCCCCACTGTGTGCAAAGCCCAACGCTGGGCTTAATCTAATGACCCTGAAATCACAACCTAAACCAAGGGCAAGGGTCCAACACTGAACCAGCTGAGTCACCCAGGCACGCTTCCTTTCATTTCTAAGCCAGCTTGACTTTGGTTTCTCTTACTTGTAACTGAGTTATAATATATGGCTTTACATTAACCATGGGTTCCTACTGGGATTTTGCTACTTACTCAGTCAACTAATAAACCTGTATTAGCATCTTTTCTATGCCAAGAGCTGTGTTGGTTCTTAATCAGTTTTAAAAGTTTCTTTCTTTCTTTCTTTCTTTCTTCTTTCTTATCAGTTTTAAAAGTTTCTTTCATTCATTCATTCATTCATTCATTCATTCATCTATTCAGTAAATACTTATTGAATACTTAGTGCTTACTATGTACCAGGTGCTGGTCTGGGTCCTTGAGATTTATAAGTAAAAAAAAAACAGGCAAAGATCCTTGCCTTTATGGTTCTCATGTTTGTGTGTGTGTGTGTGTGTGTATGAGAAAGAAATAACAATAAATAAAATGATAAACATTATAAATAATCAAATGTTACAAAGTGATGTGCTATAGAAAGAAATTGAGCAGGATAAAAGACAAGGCCTCTGTTCCCTCAAGCATGTGTGCACAGCTCAGGCTGAAAATATGCCAAGCTATAGCTGTAGAGAGAGTTCAAAAGAAACAGCAGAAAATGGGGGGCAGAGAGCCCAGAGCAGGCTGGTCCTGCAGGGGTCATGCCTCTGGATTTCTGAAGAGGATCCTGGGACTATCTCCATTATTCCTAGCACCAGGACCAGTGTCTCACACAGTTGGGTACTGAGCACTTCTGTGAATGAGTGACTTAATGTGAGGTTCAAAATGATACCTCTTATTTCCTTGATTCTAAGGCACACTCTGTTTCCCACATTTTAACTTTTCTAAAATCAGCTTGAATTTTACTACATTAAGTGTACACATTTTTGTGATGCTTTTTCATCCCCTTACCTAAAAGCAGTTATTGAATTGATGGCACTTTTATTAGGAAGGATGATGATGATGATGTTAAGGAAGAAGAGGAGGAGAAGCGCACCTGTCCTGGATAACCAGGTGACCTCTGCCATGGGAGGTGTCAAGGCTGGGCCTGCCCCCTGCAGGACACACCCATGTAGTACCTGGGTTGTTCCGAATGGCTTCCTTCAGCTCCCTCTTCTCCTGCCTTAGGGCCATCAGCTCCGTCCGGATTGTCTCCTTCTCTTTTTCCAGCCTTTCTTTTTCAACCAGGTACCTTCGGGCATCTTCCTCAGCTCGGTTCTTACCGTACTTGTACTGATTGGCACCTGCAGAGATATGAGGCAGGCAAAGGCCCCCCCTTTCTGACCTCTTAAAGAGTACCTGGGTGGTCTTAGCATCTTTCTCAGCCTCAACTTCTCCATCTATAAAATGGGAATTTTTAGATCTATATCTTTAGCGTGTGACTCCCTCAAGAAAACAGGAGCAGAAAGGAGGCAGCAGAGCACAGGGGCTAGGAACAAGGGCTTTGGAATGAAGCAGACCAAGGCTTGTGTTCTCTTTTGCCCTTTACTAGTTGTGTGATATCAGGCAGGAGTGAATAGAGGTGTTTCTGTGCTTCCCTCTAGGGCTTAGTTTCCTCATTTGTAAATATGGACATTGATCAAATTTACCTCTTAGCATTGTGGTAAGTTTTAAATTCATGGAAAATACTTGGTACAGTATCTGGTGGAAATGCTTAGTAAACGTCAGATAATGATATAAAGTAAATTTTGTGGTGTATAGCACACTTTAATTTTTTTTAAAGATTTATTTATCTGAGACAGAGAGCAAGCAAGCAAGCAAGCAAGCACACAGAGGGAGAGGAAGAAAGAGAAGTAGACGCCCTGTTGGGCAGGGAGCCCTACCTGTGGCTCAATCCCAGGACTCCAAGATCATGACATGAGTCAAAGGCAGATGCTTAACCAACTGAGCCACCCAGGCACCCCCACACTTTAGTTTTAAAAGGGCATTTTGGGATCCCTGGGTGGCGTAGCGGTTTAGTGCCTGCCTTTGGCCCGGGGCGCGATCCTGGAGACCCGGGATCGAGTCCCACGTCGGGCTCCCGGTGCATGGAGCCTGCTTCTCCCTCTGCCTGTGTCTCTGCCTCTCTCTCTCTCTCTGTGTGACTATCATAAATAAATAAAAATTAAAAAAAATAAATATAAGGGCATTTTGCAGTTAACTCTCAGGTATATATAAGACAAGTAGACAGGGACATCCAACCCAGAGCCACAGAGAATCAAGACCTTGGACTAAAGTCAGGCATTGCCTGTTTTATTCCTGGAAGATGGGTGGGGGGAGAGAGAGGGGCCCAGGAATCTGTTGCAGGCTCTACATTATGGTGGACAATAACAATAATTAGGCAAAAATTGATTGAGCATTTACTATACACTAGGCCATTTACATTCATTTCCATTTAATCTTCATAAATACTTACTATTATTAGCTCTGTTTTGTTGTTGGGGGAACAGAGGCACAGGGAGGTTGGTCTCACTGCTAATGAAGGCAGAGCCCAGTTTGAGCCCATGTGTGTCTAACTCCAGGCTCTGTGCCATGCATTACTGTTCTCGCTGGGGCAATGCCACAGTCTGATGTCTCAGGGAAATTTTTATTTACTTATTTTAGTTTCAGACATTCACTCAACAGCCCTTTTAAGTTGGTTGGTAGGGTGTGGAGTTTGGGGTGATTCCCTTGGCTTACTGATAATTGGGGGTTTGTCTCTATAGCTCTTGTAGAGATCACAGTGGCTACCCGGTGACACATGAAAAACCAGTTCTTGTCACAACAACACTATAGTTCAAGCCTGATCATAAATAAAGCATGGAGGGAAGAGAAGGGGACCTATACTTCCCCCAATGTCCCAGATACACAATGGTATCCTAGGGGGATTTTTCTCGAAGACTTTTGGATTTTATAGGATGGCAAACTGAAAATAAAACGGTAGACCAGAAAAGTGTTGTCAGTGTTATATTGTAGCCAATAAGGACCTTAAACACCCCAAACACCGGGCAGCCTAGGTGGCTTAGTGGTTTAGTGCTGCCTTCAGCCCAGGGCCTGATCCTGGAGATCTGGGATCGAGTCCCACATCGGGCTGCTTGCATGGAGCCTGCTTCTCCCTCTGCCTGTGTCTCTGCCTCTCTCTCTATGTCTCTCATGAATAAATAAATAAAATCTTTGAAAAAAAAAACAAAACCCAAACACCATTTGTTAACCTCAATATTTTATAAAATACATAGTACCTCAACACCTCCAGAGTTGGAAGGACACAAATAGAGAATAAAATGAAATAGATTTAGCAACCTTTCAAGAGACCCCAAGCCAGAACTACTAATAATTAATTTGCTCTGGGATTCCTGACCCACAGAAACTGTGACTTAACACATCTTTACTTTTTGAGCTATTACATTTTGAGTAATTCATTACAGAGTCATCAGCAACTAAAACATGATCTTGGGCAAGACACTTCAATGTTCTTCGGTGCTTTCATCTGAGACACACTGTTGGGCTAGATCTGTGGTTTCCAACTGCCCTGCAAAGAGCCCTGTGATTTCACAGTGACTGCTGACAGGCTAATGCAGGGGACCAGTGGATCTCCTAGCTCCAGCCAGAGCAGCACCGCTTTTATATCTCTTATAAACTATACTTCAATATAACATTTAATTTGAAGAAAGAATCTGTGTTTTGTTATTTTTGTTATGGTGGTTTTGAATGTTTTCTGATTTCTTTAATCTTACATGCTTATTTCAGTTTGTTTTTCCATTTTATTTTTATTTTTTAATTCTTTTTTTAGAGCAGATGAGAGAGTGAGCATGAGCGTAGTTGGGAGGGGCAGAGGGAGAGAAGGAATCCTAAGCAGGCTTCATACTCAGCACAGAGCCCACCGCGGGGGCTTGATCTCATGATCCTGGGATCATGACCTGACCCGAAATCAAGAGTCAGACGCTTAACCGACCGAGCCACCCAGGTGCCCCTACTGTATTTCCAGTGCTGACAAAAGTAGTGTAAGGAATGTTATACAACAACCCTCTGACTGTTCAGTGGGAAAACTCAGACCCATTGAGGGGGAGGGCCCTTTTCAAAGTTACTGAGCAATTTAAGGGTCAAGTGGGGGAATGGAATACAGGTCTCCTGACCCCCAGAAGAGATTGTCTACATTAATGAAGTAGGGATCTAATAAAAGTATTTTAAACATAAATCTTCAAAAAGCAAGGAACTGAACTTGACTTTGTTCAGGGGCAGGGGGAAGAACTGTAAACAAATAACTGGAAGATTCTTGGAATATGCTGTCCTACTGGAAGCTGGCTGCCTCATGAATCACATCGGAGCAGAGATTAGTGTTGGAAATCAAACAGAATTTACCAGAGTCCGGCCTGCTTAGCCTTTATTGTGCAGTGTGGCAATCAGGCAATTCACTGAGCTCCCATGGGGTGCTAGGGAGAGCTCAGGCTGGGACACAGGAGTGAGCCGTGCCTTTCACGGCAGCTGCCTCAAGGGTATTTGGAGGGCTTCATTTCTCCATGTTCTACCGCAGATCAGAAATTATAAATATTTTTAGCCTTTGGAACAGACACAATGTGAGGATGAATTTTATATGTGAACATTTGTGTATACATATATATGCCACACTGCAGCATAAAAACATATTTGGCCTTCTTTAGTGTTAAAATTTTTGAAAATCAGTCGCTACTATTAAAAATTAAGTAGGTTTCATATATAAATCTTCATATAAAGATTTCTGGTGTCAAATAACCTGCAAACCTGGGCTGGCCCTGCTGCATGGGAGCCATGGGCTGGAGCTGCGTAGTGGCTGGCCCTATAAGTGGAGCCTGAGCATGCCTGATTCCTACAGTCTTCCCCCACAACCCCATTCCCTTTTTTTTTTCCCTCTGAGGCCACATGCTAGCTGCCCCTTACCCCTGGCTCATGCTGTCCTTTTTCTTATGGTAGAGTATTTTCTTACATCTCCCTTCACTCATTAATTTATTTGCCCGATGCCTGGAGGAATCAGATCTGAGATCCCCTACCCCGTCGGTCGTTTATTTCCCTCCCTTGCTCCCATCCAGAACTCACTGGAGGCATGGCGCTTGACTTTGACCTGTGGATCCACTCGATGGGACTTCTCACTGCAGGAGGAGGCATGGCGTTTCACCTGGGCCCCAGCAGGTCGCTTGGGCTCCTCGTCCTGCGGAAAATGGAGAAAGAAGGTAGAGCTCAGGTAGGCTCAGAGCCCTCCGTGCAGGGGTGTATTTGGTCCAAGCGTGGTTGGTGAGCATTGCAGGACCTCTGATATCTTGGCCTTACATTTTTAAACTGGGGCCACACTCAACAATTTACAGACTACTTCTACTAGCGTATATCCTTTGATCCTCATACTTGCCTGTCATGGGCCGCAGAAGGAACCCCTAAACTGGAATATCTGTTGAGAGGAGAATTTGGAAGTCTCGAGGGCTGTGGGTGACCATATTTGATATATCACAGATATTTCTGTCTTCAAATCATTTGGAAGTATCCTCCAAAATTTCTGAAATTGCTAAATATAAGCATTCCCAGTTAAGATAAAAAGTTGTGGATGATGTCAGCCAATGGTGGAAGTTACATAATAAAATGGCTATTTTTAAAAATTTTATTTATTTATTTGAGAGAGAGGGAAGGAGAGGGATAAGCAGACTCTTTACTGAGCAGGGAGCCCAACAAGGGGCTCGATCCTAGGACCTGAGATCATAACCTGAGCCAAAGGCAGATGCTTAACTGACTGAGCCACCCAGGTGCCCCTGTGCCACCCAGGCACTTTACGTTTGTGCATGAAGAGTGCACTCAGAATCCGCTCAGAGCTCAGGGAACCATGAATGGAATATGATTATAATATAATAATGATATTGATAGCAATAGTACTATTTACTGCATGTGAAACATTCCAGTGTTTAGGCGCTGCTAAGCTCTTTCCATAGAGTATTTCTTTTATTTTTTGTTTTTATTTTTTTCCATATATTATTTCATTTAGTTCTTGCAATGATCCAATTGAGTAGGTTTTATAGTATTCATCTGAAGCCAAAGTGAGGACCAGAGAAGTGAAGCCCAAGCTAACCCAGATTCGGCCCTGAGTCCAAAGTTCATGCCATTAGGTACTAAGCTGTCTTGCAGCTAATCTGCAACTGAGAAAGATCTCGAGCTGCATCCACTGGTTCATCTGAATCTGAAGAAAAACCACATAAGCAGAGGAAGGATGGGAGTCTAGAGATGAGAGTCTAGAAAAGGGAGTCTTAGAGGGTATCAAGCTGCCAAGGAGAGCAGACATGTCTGCACGCCAGGACCCCTGCCTTGGACAGTGCTGGATGACACTGAGCTCTCACCTCTAAGACTCCCTTTTCTAGACTCTCTGAGGTATGGGAAAAATGGAGTAGTGACAGAGAATAAGAGGTAATCCATGGCCTTTGCCACAGGGACCACACCTGTATCTTTTCATAAGGAACATCATCGTAGACACGGGGCTCAGGCCACTGATCCTGGCAGGATCTTGCATATCTAGAAAATAGAAGGCGTCACGATGATGGCAATGATGAAGACATTTTGTGGCTTATAGTGCTTTTCTATCCACTCTCATTTGATTCTGTGATGGATGTTAGAAGGTTAGTAACAGCAACCAAGCTAGGCAGTGCTGGGCCATTGCTGTGTTAATGGTCTCAGAGGTGGCGACCCATGTGATTCTCACAAGCAAACTGAGAGGTGAGTAATTCATCCCCTCCATTCTCTAAGTGCACACAGAGGATCCAAGAGGCAAGCAACCACCCCAAGCCGCTGGCCGGCTCTTCCAATGCATGTACCAGCCCTGATGGCCAAGGGTGTGAGAACCTGAGGTTCCGTGGCCTAAGAGCTGAGCCCAGGTCACCATGCAGAAGGGTTTCTGCTCTTCAGCTCATTGCATCCACAGCTTCCTCTGACCCGTGGGCTACCTCCCTTAGCCAGCTCGCTCCTGCCTTTTGGAGGAGGAAGGCACCCACCCTGACTTCCCAAAGAAACAGAGTCCTCCCCAGATCTTCCTCCCTTCCCTCCCAGTGCCCATGCCAGACTCAGAGGTTCTGGGAGGCTGCAGGGGGGCTGTGGAGTGCAGGCCCCTTACAGGAAGGAGTTGCGCCCCGCACTGACAATGCTGGTCAAGGTCTCCACGTCCACGTAGTCATAGTGCAGCGCCTCGGGAGTGACTCTGGAGCCCATCTCCACCAGCAACAGCCCAAGCCAGCGGCCCATGTCCTCTGAGCAGTTTGCCTGAGGGAGAGGAGGCAACAGGCTGATTAGTTCACTTTGGTTCGTTAGGGGCTCAGGCTACCTGTTCACTTTCGCCGAACCCATATTTGTGCACAGTACCTGCTATGTACCCAATATTTAGGGATCCAAGAGAAACAGGACTGCAACACACATCCAGAACTCCAAGTGGCTTCCACCTTTTCTTTCTTTCTTTTTTTTTTTTTTTCCACCTTTTCTTTATCCAGGTTTCAGTCCTAATGCCTCCTCCTTGGGGAAGCCCTCCCTGACCATCTCTCTAAGATACACACACTCACTGTCCTCAGAACCTTTATGACCAGTTAGATGTGAAAACAGCATTTGGGTGTTCCCTGAAAAAAAAATTTTTTTTTTTTACATATTTACTTATTACTGGAGGAGACTATTTCTCATGCAATCAAAAAATCAAAAAAAAATTTTTTCTTATAACTGCCAATTATTTGTAGAACTGCAAGCAGGAAAACTGCCAACAAGTTACTGGTTAACTAAACCCACAGCTCTGCTAGTTCTCATTTAAAGAGCATTCTTATAACATCAACTGAACACACAAATGCTAAACTTGACCAAAGGATGAACACCTCTTGCCGGAGAGTTCTGTGTCTAATTTAAGAAAAGTAAGAGACCTATCTCAACCTACCAAAAATAAAAACGAGTGACAGAGACAATATTTCTCGAAATTTAAGAAGTGGGTGAGGCAGTGGGTACTCGGCAAAGCAAACAAGATCAAGAGGCTGGGTGTTCGTTCTTGGATCAGACCAACAGGCCACTGACCCCTTTGGAGTCTTGGACAAAGCACCTGGCCACCCTGGCCTCAGTTTCCTTGTTTGTAATGTTTTCTTACTTTTCCTCCAGTGTTTGCATTTTCAATTCTAAAAAGCCATACAAATGACATATAGAAGAGAGATTCCACCCATAGTGCAGGACCTCCGGGAGGAGGGTGAGTGCCACAGGGTAGGAACCACCATGAATGGGTGATGGGAAAAAACATTCTCATTCAGCCATTTGTTCAACAAATAGTAACTGAGCCCTCAGTATGTGCTGGGCATCATGCTGGGTTCTGGAGAAACCAAAAGTATGCAGAACAGGCACGGTTACTGGCTTCATGAAGCTTGAAGATTTCAACTCAGTGTGGAGAACACCTTTCTAAAAATGTAGCTGCTGGAGGGAGGGGCAGGCTGCCTTGAAGAGCAGTGGTTTACCTGAGGTGGCCGGACACTGGTGAGAAGCTTTTAGAGGGGATTCCAGAATCAGATTCGGGATAGATCAGACGAGATGCCTCTCAGGCTTGGGATTTTAATATAGGGGAGAATAAACAAACTTTGGTTCTAGGGTCGCCAGATTTAGCAAATAAAAATGCAGAATGCCCTGTTAAATTCGACTTTCAGATAAATAACGAATACTTCTTCAGTCTAAGTATATCCCAAATAGTGCTTGGGATATCCTTACATTAAAATCATTGCTGGGATGCCTGGGTGGCTCAGTGGTTGAGCGTCTGCCTTTGGCTCAGGTCATGATCCCGGGGTCCTGGGATCGAGTCCCGCATCACTCTCCCCACAGGGAGCCTGCTTCTCCCTCTGCCTGTGTCTCTGCCTCTCTCTTTGTGTCTCTCATGGATAAATAAATAAAATCTTTAAAACAAAACAAAACATTGCTGTTTATCTGAAATTCAAATTTAAGGGGGTGCCCTGTATTTTAATTGGCAGGCCTTTGTGGTCACGTGGCAGCAGGTGGGCTTACTTTTTCCTTGGGCTGTGGAATGTCAGCAGCAAGGCCCCCAAGACAAAAGCCCATATCCAAGCCCAAACTCTTCTCAGCTGCCACCACCAAGAACCACCTGGATTTTCTCCTCTCACCTCCAGGATGGCAACCTCCTGCCTGTTGCGCAGGATCCTGAAGGCAAATGGATGTCTGGGCCCAAAGCCCGGGGCCACCTCACAGCCACGGAGAGCAATGGCATTCACGTGGGTCCGCAGGTCCGTGTGATCCTTGTGGAAATACAGAGTGTTGCATTTCAGGCGGCACCAGCGCTCCTTCCAGCCTTGGTTCACCAGCACGTTCAGATAGCCTGAGGGGGGGAGACGGGGTTTGACCTCCCGACAGCCGGCCCTGGGGAAGCCCCAGGTGGGAGCTGTGGGTCTGCATGGGTCTGTCTACACCCCCGGGGCAAAGCACCCGGACAACCCTCATTCTCTAGCTGGAAAAAGGCCTTGTGGGTCCCAGATCAGCTCCCTCTCTGGGCCATCCTGTGACCTTTGGCCCCCTCTTCTCCCTGAGTTTAATTTCCCTGTCTGAAATGAGGACAGATAATCACATTCTTGTACTGCTACACAGCCCTCGTACCAAACCCAGCTCGGTGAAAAGGGCCAGGGAACACGGCATAGGTGAAAAAGGACAACCATCCCTTTTGCCTTTCCTCCTCCCCAAATACCAGAACCGTTAGTGAGACAGAAAATAATGGGTGATGCTGACACCTGGTGGCAGCAGGTGGGAATAAAAGTATCTACCCTAGAGAAAGTTCTAAAATGAGCAAGGCACAGGCTGATGACCAACGGGTTTAGAAATCATTCCTAACATGTTAGACTCAAATGATTTTTTCTCCCATGCCCAGATTCACTGGTTACAAAATAATTCTTTATAGCCATGTGATTTTATAATGTTTTTTTGAGGTTTAATGGAGTATTACTGCATATCCAAAAATACAGAATTTTCTTTTGGATTCCAGGATACATACAGGACACTGCGTTAACAAGAACAGAATAAGATGTCTTCCCTTCCAAACCATGTTAAACTCACACTGAGGGCATTTGTAACCACGTTTAACTCACACTGAATGCCTTTATAAGTACTTAAATATTTTTGTCCAAGAAATTGCTTTGTAAGACTGAGTTGTAACTTAACACATCTGGCATGTTATGGGCTGAGAGGAAATAAGATAATCTCCTCCCATCCTATAGGAGGAAACTGAGGTCCACAGATGGGCAGTGATGGGAGCTGAGGTCACAGGGAAACAGAGATAGGGAGTCAGGTGGCTTTTCCTGAGTGTCAGGGCCTCACGGGAGAGAAGTGATGGAAAGGCATGGATTGTTGACGGAGTGCAGGTTGGGTGCAATTCTCTCCTCTGTCCTGGAAGCAAGGGAGGGAGGCCTAGAGGGTTTTCTGGCTTAGCCCAGCACCCACAGCTGTAGGGTCTGATTATCCTCCTCCCCAGGACCCACCGCAGCACGGAACCTCCTCATCGGGGCAGGATGTTTGCAGGTCATCAGCCAGCGGCTTCTTCTTGGAGAAGCTGATGATGCGGGTGATCTTGCGGCCTGCGGCCCTGCTCACTGAACCCTTCAGCTCTGCCAAGCTGCTCTTCTTCCCTTTACCTGTTGCCATGGAGATGGGTTACCCGAAGGGAGGGAGCCCCAAGTCCCAGATCCACCCACCCCAGCCTTCCCCACTGCCCTTTCAGCCTGCACACGGGGCCTGGCTGCCACTGCAGTGTGGACAGGCCGGGTGGCCTTCCCCAGATCCCCAGAGCAGTCAGGACCTGCTCTCCACCGTGTGCTGGTGCAAGGCCCCTTCCAGCTCTGGCATTCTCTGGCATGAGCCCCCAGAGGCTCCTACCGTGGTCGCAGGCCTCCCGGCGGCCTAGAGTAGAACAGCTATCACCCATGCCCGGGCTGTCCGAGTCTGAGGTCTGCTTCTCCTGGGACAGTCTCTGGGGAGGCACACAGATAGCCCCGTGTCAGCGGGCACACTCAGAAGTCCCTTTTGTTGGTTCAACCCTCCCAGCCTCTGCACATGATGATCACCTAACTGATATTTGTCAGCACCTCTCCTGTGCCTGACACTATACCAGGTATGGGGAGACATGCTGACTTAGGACAGTTGTGTCTTGGAATCTTTCGTCATCTTGGTGAGCCAGGCGACTCATTGTATATAACACATGGCAATAAATTCCTAGGATTGTCCACATTCAGTATGTGACAGGGTTTGGGAAGGTACTTAAGTGGGATATTAATGTAATACAACTGGTTTAGGAAGTGACCTCCGGTGGTATTGTGGGGATAGACTATAAGCAAAAGAGCCACACGAGAGAGAGTCATTTTCAGCAAGGGGACACGTGGTAAAGGAGGAGCTAAGATGACAGGATGTAGGAAAAGGGTTGAGGAGGCATGTTCAAAATAGTTACAGCAGGACTTGGTGACCAGGAAACATGAGTGGTGACAAGAGAGTCGTTACGGTCCTGACTCAGGTAAGAGGGTGGTAAAGACATGCACACACGCCCCATGGCAGCAACTTTATTGCAGCCAACACAGTTTTACTCATATGCCACCCCTGGACCAATCGTTCATCTGTCCATCCGTTCGTTCATTCACTCATTCATCCAAGGTCAGTTAAGCGCCTACTAGGTGCTGTGGAGGTGGTGAGGGAGAGTCAGTCTTCCAAGAATTAGGATCTTGGAAGAAACTCTGTCCCTGGTACCACCTGTTAGTCAGGGGAACGTGGAAAATCCTTTCCTCTCCCCAAGGCTCAGTTTTCTCACCTGAATCACACCCTTCTCCAGGGAGCTGGCCCAAGTGAAATCGCAAGGCCAACAGATGGTATCGTCTTTAACACCTGGTTTGTGTGCTGTGAGATCTTTGAAAAGCTAAGCAGTGCCAGTCAAACGTGGGACAGGATTAAAATGGCACCAACTTGCTTAAAAAGTAGTACAGAGCTCTGAGGCCTCTCTAACTTTCCTGCCAAGGACTCCTCAGACCGGGCTCAGGGATGCTTTGCTATAAGCACAGAACTTGGGGACCCAAAGAGATAGGAGAGACCTTGTGCTCCCCTCAATTTCCAAAGGCTGGAAACAACGGCGACTGTCAGAATTGGGACAGATCTGTCAAAAGTATCAGAATCTCCCTTGTAAACTAGGAAACAAGCTATGGTTGGTTCTATTTGTCCTGCGATGGTATACAGATGGTAAGTGTTTCATCAAGATAGAACGCAAATACAAAGCACACTCGGATCACTTTGGAATTGACTTAATGATGATGGCACTTCACCTACAGGATTCTATGGAGAGACACAGTTACCAACACCACTTGCTTCAAAAATACCAGCCTCAACATTCGAGCTACCCTTCTTCCTCGTTGTTCACCCTCAGCGCAAATGTGTTCTCTCAGAGAAGCTTCCCTGATGCCTGAGCCGAGAGCAGACCCCTGGCATACACTCCCAGGGTACGTGGTACTTTTCCCTCCCAGCGCTCACGCACCTGGGCATTCATGTCTGACTCCCCCCGGGGAGCACAGGGTGGCTGTGTGTTCCTGTTAGGATTGCACCTGTGTGCTCAGCACAGCGCCTGGCGCACGGTGCTCACTAACTACTCACCAAGCAGAGCTCAGTACCCCCCCACCCTTGAGAGATGGGGTGGCAAAGTCATCAAGAGCCAGGTGTCTGGGTATACATCCTTGCTCTGCTTCTTACTAACTGTGGGACTCCGGGCAAACCTCTTCTGAAAATGAAATTCATCAGAGAGTTGTCATAGAAATTAAAATAGGTAATAACGCTGTAAAGCCTACGGGATGATGCCGGCCACACAATCATATTCTACACTAACCTTTATTATATCATGCAAGACGCATGTGTGTAGGCTTGAGGCTGAGTCTCTTTATCACCCACCAGCACCTGGCAAAGCCAAGGTGCTATAGCACATATTTTCCGACTGCCTGACCAACTACCAAGTGACCATTTCACTCATGTCCCATTGGGGCACGCTACTCTGAGTTTCCAATTTGCTTTAATGGCTCCATTCAACAGTGACCTCCTTCTGTCCTGGCAGCATTAGTTACTCCCTCCTGGCTCATACTGCACCTTGGACATGAGTATTCATTCATTCATTCATGCATGCATGCATTCATTCATTCAGTAGACATTTACTGAACGCCTACTGTGGTGCCAGCTCCGAGCTGGGCACCGACGGCTTGTAGGACACCACGGTGGGTGCCTGGCTTCACCACCAGCAGGGCCCGTGTTCAGTCCCTGCTGCCTGGCACAGGGGAGACCTTGAGACAGATGAGACAGATGAGACAGATGTACCTTGTCTAGGTCCAGCTTGCAGAGGAGGACTGGGGACCTGGGCACATCTGCCCCCTCTGTCACCCCGGCAGCCTTGCTCACCTCTCGGATGACCTGTGGAGAGGGGGACAGCTGTGAGCAGGTGGGCAGGGACACTGGGGAGGCAGAAGGAAGAACGGGGTCTGTGCACTCAGAGCCATCGAGCAGCGGGGTTGGGATCACTAGGCAGAAGGAATGGGCTGATGTGGCCTCCTGCACATCAGGGTTTGAACAAGCTTTCTCCTGCATCTGCCCCTTGAATTGAAAAGAGAAGAGGCTAGTGAACGAGAGGCATGGCTTCGAGACCTGGCTCCATTGCTAATCAGCTGTGTGGCCTTGTGGAAGCCACTTTCTTCCCCTGGGCCTTCTTTCCCTGTCTGTAACATGGGGATAATACCATCCTCTGCTTACATCCTTGGGTTGTCTGAAGACCAGTGAGATTGTGGGTGTGAAGGGCCACGTGGCCCAGGATGCCCTGCACAAGCACGAGGGACTGGCTCCTGTGGCTGTGCGGACCCTCTGCAACAGCCTGCAGGCAGTCAGGGCCAACCCCTCCACTTCAGAGATGTAGACACTGAGATTCCAGGACACCCACTCACACAGCAGAAGCATCCAGACCATGAAATAATGGCAGCCATCACTTGTTGCTCACCCATCTGTGGTTTTACGTGGATTCTCCCGCCGTATTCCCACAGCAGCCTTGAAGGGTAGGGACAGCTGTGACCCCCATATCACTGAATAGGATGAGGAGGCTCCAAGAAGTGAAGCCATGGTTGTCTGCCCTTTACCTCTGGGCTAATGAGCTCCCAGTACTGAGAATCAAGACAGTCCCCAGTCCAGGCTTGATTCCAGCTTCCATCTCCAGTCTAGGGCTCCCTCTTCTGACCCACCCGGCCTCTGGAGGGCAAAGGCTCCCCCAGCAGATAGGTTCCTCACCTTCCTTCCCATCTTGAGACATAGATAATGAGCAGCATGAAAGTTCTTGGGGGTAGGATTGGTTATCACAGGACAGAAGGGAGGGCAGGGAGGGATGGAGGTGTCTGGTTTCTTTGTTCCAATAGGAAGATCAGAGGAGGAGGGAGAAAGGTGTCAGAGTGGAAGCGGGACAGGGCACAGGGACACGGGCTGGCCTGTGGTAGGGACTGGGGATGGGACTCCACCCCCATCACACAGTGATCACTTATAGCGACTGAGTACTTACTGTCTGCAGGCACTATAGTAAATGCTCTCTAGAATCTTTACAAAAACCATTTTACAGAAGGGAAAATTGAGGCACAGATAGGCAACGTCATTTGCAGAAGACCACACAGCCAGTAAGTGCCAGTGAGGGCTGGGACTTGAACTCCAGTCTGTGTGTCACCAAACTCCTCCCTTGTCATCGCCATGCCACCCTGCCTGTGGCCTTTGGAGTAGATTTCCTTGTTAGCTGCGAATCCTAGCCCCAACGACTTGGTTGTGTGACCTTTGATGAGTCACATAAGATTCCTGTGCCTCAGTTTCCTTATCTGTAAAATGGGGACAATATGGTCCCATTACAAAGAGTAGATGAGGTCAAGTGTGTAAAGCTCAGCACGACGCATGGCCCAAAATACGTCCTCAATACACTGTAACTCTGATTGCTCTGCAGTAGGGACAAGATGCAGAAGCTGGAGTATAAGTGGATGTTACAAGGATGCACACTTCTCCTAAGATAGGAAGGATTTTTCCTTTTTTTTTTTTTTTTTAAGAATTAGCTTATCTAATGATAACATTTGTTTCCTTCAAGGATATTACAAAGTGTACACGTGTAGGCTGGAAAGGCCCACAGTAAGGATGTTAGAAAGAGGATTCAAATAACTAGAAGGAACACAGTACTCCAGCCTGAGGTCTGTCTCCTGGAGACGTCTGAGGCTACTTACACACGCCCGAGGCTCTGATCACCACCCCTCCCCAGAGCAAGGCCTGTTCTTCCAAGGGACTGGAGCCCACCTGGCTGAAAGTTGGGCCCAGGGAAACAGGGGAAGGAAGGGCAGGAGGGCGGACAGGGAGGGTGCAGGTGCCATGTACCTTCAGCCACTCCTCGGCTTGCTCCCGGCTCTGCAGTGCCAGCACCAAGACCTCGGTAGCCCCCTGGGAGAAGCGGAGCTCATGCCTCTTGTGGCGGCTGTCCTTGGGCATGTAGGTGACGCTGCAGACATCCAGCGCCAGCCTCAGATGCGGCTGCCGGTCCTTGGAGCTTTTGTAACACTGGACAGGAAGAGAAGGGGTCACCCTTCTGGACTGGAGGGCAGAGGAGGGAGATGCCCTCGCATGAAGGCTTGGGGGAGTGACCTCAACCTGCCCCCCGCTCCCCCAGCCCAACTGTGGGTACTGCGTGAAGACAGGGGCTGTGGCTATTCATCTCAGAGAAGAGAAGCCTGGAAGGGGGAGTCTTTGGACAATCTTCAGATCTCAAGCGCCACCGAGGGGCCCCAGGGGCACCACCATCTATTAGGAAGAGGCAGATTTTAGCACAATACTAGGAAGACCATTCTAGTCTAAAGAACCAGAGAAGAAACAAGCTGGCTTGGAAGGAAGCCAGCTCCCTGCTACTCATGTGCTAGGAGCAGGAATGTGGGAGAGAGGATTCTAGCAGAGATGGACGGTTGGGCTTAGGAAGTCAACAGTTTATCAATAATGAGTCTCACTTCCCGATTCTTACTATGAAGCTAGCATTACCTTGATATCAGAACCTGACAATGACACTACAAAAAAAGGAAAACGATAGGCTAATCTCAACATGGTTGCAAAAGCCCTAAAAAAACTACTTGAAAATAGAAATCCCAGACACATAGAAAAGCATACCGTATCAAGACCAAACAGGGTTTATTCTAGGATTGCAAAAGTGTATTAGCCTTCTAAAAGCCAACCCTATAATTCATCATATGAATAGAAAAAAAGGAGAAAAGCCACATATCTCAATAGAAACAGAAAAGGCATTTGGTAAAATTCTCCATGCATCTGTAACATAAATTCTTAGCAACCTAGAGATATAGAGGGGGAACTTCCTTAATGTGGCAATAAGGAGCTTCAACAAACCACTCACAGCAAATATCAGCCTTAATAGTGAATTAATGCAACTTTCCCTTTGAGATCTGGACTGACACAAGGGTGCCTGCTCTCACCACTTCTATTTACATTGTGCTGGAGAGCCTAACCAATGCAGTATGTCAAGAAAAAAATGACAAACGGAATGAGAAGAAGTAAGTCATGACCTTTGGATTGGTTCTGGCCTGGGGTGAGCTTTTCACTGCTCCAGGGTGAAAAAAAGTCATGTTTCAAATGGATAGATGTTGGGTAAGGCTTGTCAACAGATTTTGGGGTAAAGAGCTATTATTTTCTTTCTGAAATTATGTCTGTATTCCTACTCTGGAATTAAAGGTACATTTTCTTTTATAAAATGATGGTGATGAGAGATGGCAAATTAAAAAAAACTAAGAAAGCAAGTTCCACAGCAAGTGCTGAATGGGCTCAATTTTAGAAAAGGCGGATGTGTGGAAATATGTATATTAAAACATAACAGTGGTTAGCTCTTGGTCAATGGGATTATAGGTGGCTTTAAAAAATCACTTTTGGAAAAAAAAATTAAAAAAAATCACTTTTGGGGCTCCTGGGTGACTCAGTCGGTTAAGCATCTGCCTTCTGCTCAGGTCATGATCTCAAGGTCCTGGGACTGAGCCCTGTTTCTGGCTCTCTGCTCAGCGGGGAGTGTGTTTCTCCTCCCTCTCCCTCTGTGTGCGTGCTTTCTCTCTTTCTCCTGTTCTCTCTCAAATAAATAAAAAATATATATATTTTTTAAGATTTTATTTATTTATTCATGAGAGATAGACAGAGGGAGAAGCAGGCTCCATGCAGGGAGCCTGACCTGTGACTTGATCCCGGGTCTCCAGGATCAGGCCCTGGGCTGAAGGTGGCGCTAAACCACTGAGCCACCCGGGCTGCCCTCAAATAAATAAAATCTTATAAAAACATTTTCATTATGTTTTTCTCCAGTTTTATACATAAACACATTTAGTTGCATAATGAAATCAATAAACATTGTTTTAAAGTGATAAAAAATTCACTGGCGAAATAAAAACTTGTTAAAGTCTATGTCAGGTCTTTGTGTGTGCACGTGTGTGTGTTTACATTCTGCTCTAGTGGGAGAGCCCTTATCTCAGAAGCACTGAGCCTCTGGGCACAAAGCAAGCCCAGAGGACCTGGGGTAGATACGCCTGCACACGCACACAGAGACACACACACGTGTAAGTCCATGTGAGGCCTAGAGGCACACTTCCTCGGCCACTCACCAGGAGCTGGTCCTCCTTGATGACCGTCAGCTGCTTGGCCCACTGCCCGAAGCGCTTTTTCCGCAGCAGGAAGGCACATATCCTGCAGTCCCTCACCAGGTGCATGGAGGCCTCCTCCGAGGGCCACTGGTGCGTGGGCTGTGGCCCTTTCCCTTCCTCCTCCTCCTCATCGTAGGACTCGTAGGAGCTGCTCATTGGGTCAGAGTCATTGTCTGTAGGAGCCATGGGAAATGACCCGTTACCATGTCCTTGCCTGGGAGGCACCTTCTGACCCTTCCACTCTGGGGTTCAGGGACCAGGAGGCGGTGGACTTCAGGTGTGATCATGATGATCTCTACACCCCGACACGGGCGCTGTGTTGTGTGGATTTACCAGTGGCTCTGCCATCTTGGTGACTTCACTTCTCAAAATTTCAGGTTTCTCATCAGTAAAATGGTCACAATCAATGACAGTAACTACCTAACCGGGCTCTTAGGATCAGTAACTGCAGAGCGTTCAGGCCAGGGTCTGGCACTCGGTGGGTACCCTGCTTACATCAGCTATTGTCATACCCCACCATCTTCGTGTCCTTAGTCTCAGGTGATTCTCACAGCACCCAGCAAGTCCCCATTTTACAAAGAAGGCAACTGGGGGCTCACAGAGAATAAATGATTCATTCAAGGTCAGTCACCAAGGGGCAGGGCAAAGGCTAGATCCAGGGCTCCCGGTTCCATGCCGGTGGTCTTTCCACTGAACCCTGGAGTCACTGAGTACTGAGTACAAGGGCTGGAGGCCTCTGTGGTGACCCAGAGGGCCAGGTACACATGCATGCCAACAGTTTAGGCCAAGGCCTGCCCTCTGAGGACAGGACCATTCTGAACACCCTCCTGGCACTTACAGGAGTTCTTTAGCTCCCCATTCATCCTGGTGGCGGGGTAGCTGCTGTCTGCATCCTCGTAGTAGCCATCCATGATGGAATGGGCTGGGCTGCAGCCGTCTGTGGGGTTGGCAGAAGGAGCGGCACCTTGGAGAAAGGCAGGCAGACTGCAGGGGCTGTGGCTGGGGCAGACCCCAGACCCCTGCCCCTCCTCAGGGAAGAGAGAGTGTAGCTCCCCCTAACTCCCCGGGCCAGGATGAGGGGCTTCCTCCTCTCTGAATGTCATCTGCTTTAGCTCCCCACATGCTCTCTGCTCCTGTCACCGGCACTGCCCTGCTAGGCCCTGTCATGCCTCCAGGCCCATGTTTATGCTATTCCGTGTGTTCTCTTAGCTTCTGCTAGAAAACTCCTACTCATCCTTCAATACCCAGCTCAAAGATCTTCCTTCTGACCTTATCAGACAGAGAACTGTCAGTACCTCCTAAGGGATCCCACAGCATTGGTGTGTGTGTGTGTGTGTGTGTGTGTGTGTGTGTGTGTGTGTGTGTCTTGGTCACAGCCCTGATCCCTGAACTGCAAGAGGTGGTGCTCCAGCTGCCTGGGCTCGGCCACCCCCACCCCCAGCATTTGCCACCCCAGTCCTCTCCCTTCCTCATGCACACACCCCCTCTCGTGATGGCAAATCTCCTAAACCTCTGTGACCATGGGGAGGAACTGGACTAGAGGAGCTAATGGTAGAGCGTACAACAGTGAGCACAACAGCCCCCTACAGCAAAATTTCCCAGCATGCTCCCACTCAGGGGGCAGCACCGTGCAGGGGTGGAGGCTACCTTAAATTGTTATTCTGCATCAGCATTACGGGGGTCTCTTTAAAATGAAGATCCCTGGGCTGTCTTTCTAGAGATTCTGATTCACCCATGTGAGCTGAGCCAAGGAATCTTCATTGTTAAAAAAAAAAAAACTATTTACTAGGACATTAAAAAACATGTACAGATAGAACTATATGGAACTCCAAGAAATCAGATTTTTTGTCTAAACAATTAGGTTATTTTGAGACAGATGGTTCCTGGGGCACATTCTGAAGGTTAGTGGGCTAAGGGCAAGTGCTTTGGGTTTGACGAGATTGGAGATCGAATCTGTCGCCACCATTTATTGAGTGACCTTGGGAAAGAAGCCCACAGTTTCTCTGCATTTCAGGGTCATCACCTTGCAGTGACGTGAACAATTCCCACCTTGGACTAGTGATACAATGCATGTAAGCTTCTGGCACAGTGCCTGGCACATAGAATGTGCTAGACACATGCCGGATGTCATTATTATGACTTTCTCCTTTGATTCCTACAATGCAGGGAGGTAGGTATGAGCCCCATTTTACAGATGAGGGCACTGCGGCCACACACCGATTGCTAGCGGCAGAGCCTGGATGAGAACTGAGGTTGCCAGCTCAGGGAATAGATGCACATCCCCTCTTCCAGGAAGACTTCCTTCACGCAGTCCAACTGGCTCCCATACCACACTGTTCTCAAAGTGCTGCTCTGGGCTCCCAGCCCCTGCCATCCATCTGTTTCCTGAGGACAGCAGCACTCAAATTCCCAGCGACTAGGATCCCTAGTGCAATCTCCCAAGTGATGATCAGCGTCTGCTTTTCCCAGCAGGTCCTCTGAGGCCTCAGATGCTGGCAACATCCTGTGAGATGGACGGGCGGGAGGCCGGGGTGGGTGGGGAGGCTGGTGCGATGGGGAAGAGGGAGGGGACACATGGGCCAGCGCTCTTGAACACCTGGCAGGGCTGGACACTGTGTCAGAGGAAGGATATTCCCTGATGAGCTTGGCACCCTCTCTCTGGTCAAGCTCTCTGGCTCTTCCTGTGGCCCGCCCTTCCCTCCTGCCCCGGGATCCCTGCTGCCCCATCTGAGAGGAGTGTGAGCTCCCTGGGGAGGTAGAGAAGCCTCACCCAACTGAGGGGCTTGACCTGGGATTCAGGGCCCAGCAGCACTTCGTCCTCACCTTCCTGTCCTGTCCTCAAATGGATAAAATAGAACAAAGTCACCTGCTTTGCATCCAAACAGCAGCAACACAGACAGCAAACTCTCAAGACTGAAGAAAGCCACGGATTACCACGTCCAACCTCACCATTTCCCTTTAACTAGTTTATTAATCACAACAATGATATACCACAGTAGGCCAAGGCGGAAAGAACCTGAGTGTCCATCAACTGACACGCGACTAAAAAACATGTGGTCTATCCATACAATGGAATATGACGTGGCCATAGAGAGAAGTATCGATCCACACAGTGATAGGGGTTACCCTTGAAAACAGGGAAATGAGCCAGACACAAAAGGCCATGCATTGCATGGTTCTATTTATGTGAAATATTCAGAATTGGTCCATCCATTGAGACAGAAAGCAGATCGGTGGTTGCCAGAGACTCAGAGGAAAGAGTGACTCTCTAACAGGTATGGGCTTTCCTCCTTGAATGATGACAATGCTTGGGATCTATGCAGTGCTGATGGTGGCATAACATGGTGAGTGTACTAAATGCTACTGAGTGGACACTTGAAAGTGGTTGAAATGGTCCATTTTATGTTACGTACGTTTTGTTACAATAAAAAAAACTATGCCCACGATGATAAGCATGATAAACACAAAGAGTAGGAATGGGAAAATATGTTGCCTTCAGCCAGATTTCTATTCATTTCCCACAGGGAAATATTGCTAATGTTTTCTTGCACATCCTAGAAAAATTGCTAAAATGAATGCATGAGTGTGTGTGTGTATACCCCATTAAGGAACAAAAGGAATCACGTTATAGGCAATATTCTGTGTTTGAGTTTTTTCAATGAATGTTACCTTGGAGTTCATTTCTGATCAGCACAGACAGACCTGTTTCATTTATTTTTTGGCAGTTGGAAAATATTCTACTGTGCTACTGAATGACGACATAGCATCACATAATCATTGTCTTATACAAGCTCAACTACGAATGCTGGGTCACCCCAAACCCATATAAAATAATTTCTTGTGTATAATGTTAAGTTCCTATATCCAAGCCAGTGACTTATCTGATCCTCAAAGAATCAGCCATTTGTTTCAGTGCCGGAGGAAACACTGAGAGATGAGTCCAAATCCAAAGACTCTCCTTTGTGGCTGATTTAAGAGCTTTTCCAAAGGTAATTTGTACCAGTGCCCTTTAAATTATTTTATTTTATTGTGTTCACCTGTCAGTAAAAATGTAACCATATAATGTACTTCCATTTATTTGCGTGTAAATTATTTATGTATATATGTATAGACTGCTTACAGGAGTTATGCTATTATTAGATTATAAATGCTCCAACTCTAAAACATTCACACAAACATTTTAGGAAGAAGTGTTGAGCTAAATATAAGTAAAGCTCCTGATACTTCTTCCTAGATCTTTTCATGAATTCCCTGGGGGGCCACACTCTGCTCAGAGGACCTTTTGATTTCCTCCACGTGCTTTTTCACCCTACATGTTGGCTTTTTAACTTAACCTGCCTATAAGGTGAGAGTCAGGCCGAAGGACAAAGTAGTTCACCAGGTCCACGGAGGAGGGGCACTTGGGTGAGCACCAGCTTCAGTGCTAGGGACCAGGACACAGTGGGCCGTCTGTCTCCCTCCATCCTGGCACATTTATATGCATGTATCCAGCCCCTTTCTTATTTTCAGGGTAGGGAAGGCAGTTGTGCAAGGCTGCACAGAACTGGGACTGGAATCAAGCCCCCCATCCCTGGGGCTACACCACTGGCCTCCCCCCAGCCTCCACTAGAGAGGCTGGGGACTCAGGCAGCTCCTCCTCAGGATGTGAGCCGGGTGGGTGTGCAGCTTGGAGCTCCAGTCCTAGCAGGACACACAGGAGCTAGAGGAGGGGAGTTCCCCAGGAGACCAGAACTTACTGTGGGAGCTGATGTACTCGGGGGACTTGCCGGGTCCTAGGGGAAGGGCCTCTTCATAGTAGTCCTCGGGTGGGGGCCTTTGGGGAAGCGGTGGAGGTAGATCGGCAGCCTGAAGCGAGGGATAAGGGAAGTGGATAAGACCAAGAAGGCTCAGAGAGGAGAGGGAGAGGCCGAGTGACCGGCAGGAGGCTGCAGCAGAGATAGGCAGGAGCCCCGAGGAGGCAGGACGTATAATCTCTGAACGTGCAGCTGTAACTCCTGACAGAGTGGCAGGAGGGCAGAGGTGGGAAACCCTGAGAGTTTGCTTGGTCCTCTATTATCTGCCCAACTTATTTCGGCATCCGGGCTTCCCTGTAATATCTAAGTTTTGTGGACTGCTGCAGAGATGTAGTTAGGCTTTGGAGTAAGCACATGCAGTGATCAAAAAATACTGAGTTCTGCTCTGCTCTGCAAGCCCACGTACAGACCTGTGAGGAGCAGCGGGGCAAGCAGTTGGAAGGCACAGCACCTAGGGAGGCAGCATAGCCTCGTGGCTAAGTGCTTAGACTCTGGGGCCAGGGCATCCCTCTTTCACTGGGATTAAGCTCTGCTACTTACTCGTGATGGGACATGTCGTGTAATCTAAGCTCAGTTTCCTGACCTGTAAAAGGGGATAACAGAGGTGCCAACCTCATTCAGTTATTGTGAGCATGTGGAGCACGTAGCAAGGGGTCCACCATTGGTACCACTGGATGGTGAAGATGACAGTGAAATATGCAGTTGACGGAGAGTGTTTGATGTGATTACAGGCCCCTTGCCTTAATTCCACAGATGAAGGTTGGGAACCCTAGATGTGATGACCCAAATCTTTCTTTTGTAAGTGAAGAAACAGGCTCAGAAAGGGGAGGTGATTGGTCTAAGACCACATAGCAGCTGGAAGAGGGCAGAGGCCACCAACTCCTAGTCCAGAGCTTTCCCCACACTCCATGTTTATGACAGTAATTAGAAGTTGGGGTGCGGAACGTCCTTTATGCCCGAATGGACGGTCGGTTCACCTTGTTATCCTTGCTCAGCATGGGCACGGTGAATAATACATCATGAGAGTCATCGAAATGTTCTCACAGCCTGTTCTTCCCCTTAGAACAGGGTCCTGCACAGCCAGGAGGCTCCCAGGCACTGGGGGGAGAGTTTCCATGGCCACCTCAGGGGGACAGAGCGCCACAGTGTATGGGGACCCAGACCATGACTCACATGTCTCAGAGGCGGGCTCTTGGCTGGCTCAGGGCTGGCTCCTTTGCAGGGCTCCCCGTCATCCTCTGGCATGTCCCGGAGGTCGCTCAGGTCACAGTCTACCGAGGTTCAGGCCATTGGGGTAGAGAAAGCCAGGGATGAGCATGGGAGAATGGGAAGGAGCCTGGATTTGGGGATTTGGGGTCAGGGGGCCTCTATCACCTCTTTTGTTACTAACGGTGGGCAGATGACCTCATCACTCTGAGACTTGGTCTTCTCGTTTAGAAAGTGGCTCAGTGTTGCCACCTTAGAGCCAGGCCCCCACCCGATCTGAGGGCGCTTCCAGAGACTGGGGCAGTGGGGCTCCAGTGCAGGGAGAGGACAGCTCCCAGCTGGGGTGGGGACAGGGTCGCTTACCGAACTCTTCAAAGAGGGACTCCACGAAGCTGGGCCCGGAGTGGAGGTCCGCAGTGTTCACATACAGGTAGGAGACTTCTTTGGCTGTGGGGAGAGGGGGAGCACGCCTGCACTGAGGAGGGAGGGGACCTGCTGCTGCCGACTCTGAGGAGGGCCGAGTCTCCCCCTCCCACCACCGGGACTCAAACCCCCTCAGGACACAGCACTGTGGACAAAGCACGTGCACCTCCTAAGTGAGTTGTCTGGTTTTCAAACTTTGTTCTTATCTTTCTATTGTTCCTAAGCATCTCCTCCTCCAAGGGGAAGGATGCTCAGAGCCCAGTACAGAAAACAGAGACTAGGGCTGCTCTGGGGACGGCAAGGGGACAGGGCCAAGCACAGTCGGCAAACCGCTGCCCCTCCCACCCTCCCACAGTCCCGTGAGGGCTGCTGATGACATCTGCCTGTTTTGTCACTGGAAGTGAGGCTCAGAGAGTCCCCTGGTGGTGGTGCCCCCTGCCCATCACTCAGACTCCCCGCAACCCTGCAGGACATGGCGTGGCTCGGCTCGTCAGAGTTTACTGAGCTCTGGGCTTTCCGTTTAGCAACGTGTGGGCTGACCCGGGGTGTGGAGGAAAGGTGGGAGTGGATGAGGAGGCCTTGCTGCCGAGCAGGCAGTGGGGCAGAGAAGCTGTGCGGGTTAGAGGGAGGAACATGACGGATGCCACCGGGCCAGTGTACGTCTGGCCGAGGCGGTGTGTGACGTGTGTGCTGCGTCTGCTGTGTGTCACAGACTGCGTGTGAGTGTTGTGTGAGAGTATGTGGGGTGGAGAGATGTGCTGTGTGTCCTGTGTCACATGAGCTGTGTATGTGAGAGCGTGCTGCTGGTGAGGGTGCGGTGTGTGTCATGTGAGTGTATATTTGTTATGGGTGTCCCATGCAGGGGAGAACGTGCTGTGCCTATGAGTGTGGCATGTGTGCATGTGTGAGTACGTGTGGCATGTACATTGTGTACACGAGTTTCAGTGGGTCGAGGATGGAGGGGTATGAAGAGCATAGCCAGGTTGGAGAAGGAACAAAGTGGATGAGGACATGGGCCAGGCCACAACAGCGTTGCGAGCCCCACTCTGAGGCTTGGGCATCCTCAGGCCACAGTCCCTGGGGAGCTACTGCAGGTTCTTGAGGAGCTGGGGGGGTGGGGGTTGCCGATGGCTGACCTGGGAGGGGCTGCAGGCTCTGCAGGATGGAGGCCACAGCCATCTTCTTCTCCAGGGCAGTGTCGCTGAGGTACTCATGGTCCAGGAGGCTGAGCAGCCCCGTGAGCTCAGGGAGCAGCTGTTCCAGCACTGAGGAGGAAGCACAGGGGCTGGGTGTCAGGATCCTGCCCTGCCTCCACCCCCCAGAGGCCAGGGAAGCGGGGGATAGGGGGGCAGAGGGCAAGGCGGGTGCAGCAGGGAGACCTCAGAAGCCCTCCCACAGCTGTCCCAGTGCTGGCCGCCCACCTCCCAAGGGACAGACTTGCACAGTTAACCATGACATTCCTCTGGGCCTCCCCACTCTGCCTCAGACCTCATATGGCCTTGGCCTGAGGACTGACATTACAGGGTTCAGCCTGGCAACTCCGAGCCCAGGTAGCCTGAGCAGAGGCTCTTAGGCCTGCCTCTGTCCCAGCATGCTCTCGGCTGTCCAGCCCACAGGGGTCTTTCCTCACTGCAGCTCGGGGCTCAGTGCAGGTCCCAGGCTGGAGCCCCTGGCCATCCAGGACACAGGCAGGAAGGGAGCCTTCCTGTCCCATCAGTTCATATACTTCAATCTCTGGAACCTTCTGTTTCCGGTGCCTTGATGGGAGCCAAACTAAACATTAACCCTTCCCACCCCAGGCCCCAAACCTTTATCACCAGTCTTTCCGTGCTTCACCAGCGTTTTTCAAACTTGAGTGTATAGAGGAATTACCTGGGGATCTCGTCAAAATGCAGAGGCGGGGTCAGGTCTAGGTGGGACCTGAGGCTCTGCATTTCTAGTGAGCTCCCCGCTGATGCTGACACTGCTGGTTAGGAGGATGTGGAGTTGCAAAAACCCTACAGCACACAGTCCTTTAAAGACTGGAGCATGCCATGACCATGATGTCATTCATGTCTCCCTGTCCCAAACAGTCACTTGGGGACTTGGTTTGCCTTAGCCCAAAGACCAGCTTCGTTACAGTAGTAGTACTGTCTTGCTTTGCCACTTGCCGGTCACTTGTGCCAGATACTAAAAGCTAACTGTGTTGAACAATTATTGTGCACTGTGCTAAGCCTTTCGTGCTTATAGTCTCATCTAAATTTACTACCAAGCATTTAATGGCTCAGAGTGGTTAAGTAACTCCTCCAGGGTCACACAGCCAGCAGAGCCTCGACTGGCCCTGGCTCCCTCCCTCCCTCCCTTTTAACCAGGGCATGAGATTGCCTTGCAGTATTTTATGCAATCCTTACCAACAAGCTTTGAGATAGGTCCCATGATCACGCCTACTTTTTAAAGGAAGAAACCAAGGCTCGGAGAAGAGAAATGTCTTGCTTGCAGTTACACGAAGGCCACAAAAGAGCCAGGCCTTTGACTTCTAGTCTCCAGACTCCCAGCCCCATATGTTTCTCTCCACCCTGGGCCCTCCTAGGGCAACAACCAGACTCCGACTTACAGCTACAGGGTCTGGGTGTGTTAGAGGGGCTATAACATCATGCATAAGAGAGCCAGCCCTGGAGCCAGACTGCCTGGTTCAAGTTCAGGTTCCATCATTCATTTATTGTGGGACCTTCACAAGTTACTTAGCCTGTGACTCAGTTTCCTCCTCTATACATGGGGGTAATAATAGCATCCGCCTTATAGGGTTGCTGTAAAGATGAATTATGTCATGCATGTAAAGTGCCTTGCCCCGTACAGAGTAAATGCTCACCCCAGGGCAGCACCTGGGAGGTGATGGCGCTGCTGCCATTGTGGTGTTTACCACACTGCTCTGTGCTGTGTGGGTCTCCGTGAGTGTCTGCTCCCGTGGCAGGCTGTGAAGCTCGAGACGGAGCAGACGGTCTAGGGGTCTCGGCCTCCTTAGCACCTAGTCTGGGGCCTGCTGAGTGCTGGTGCTCCATGTGTTTGATGAGAGAGGGCACAAACAGATGACTGTGCCAGGACTTTTTTTTTTTTTTGGCCAGGACTTTTAAAAATAGAAAACTTATGTATGGATAGTAGCACTTGGTGGAAAAAATATGATGTGGCGGTCTGGTCTCTCTGTGGCATTCCATCATCACCTTAGATCTGCTGAAAATGAGCTAGAGGCTGATCCCGTCAGCTACCACCTTAAGAGCTCTCTCTGCCACTGGGCACTGAGGTAGCAGCTTTGCACGCCATGCCTCATCTGTGAGCAGCTCCCGCTGGGATACCTGTGTTCCAGAAGAGGACTGAGCCCAAGGGAGGCTGTGACATGGTTGCACAGCTTGAAAGAGGTAGAGCTGGGCAGATTCCATGTTCGCGTAGAATCAGACTCTAGGGCTGTAGAGTCGCACACCTCAAAGCCCAAGTGCAAGGGACCTAGAGGCCCTGCTGCCTCCAGGGCCTCAGCCCTTGCAAGGTCACCTGAGCAAGGCTTCTGGGTGAGTAGATTACCCTCCTTAAAGTAGGAAACCACTTAAAATCATAAAATCATTCTAGGTAAATTTTAGCTGTTGCAAAGGAACTCTCTGGCACCCTCCTCAGATACACAGAAAGTCAGTTAACTTAGTTCTAAAATGCTTACTGCTGCAGCCCGAGTGGCTCAGCGGTTTAGCGCCGCCTGCAGCCCTGGGCCTGATCCTGGAGACCTGGGATCGAGGCCCACGTCGGGCTCCCTGCATGGAGCCTGCTTCTCCCTTTGCCTGTGTCTCTGCCTCTCTCTGTGTTTCTCATGAATAAATAAATAAATAAAATCTTTAAAAAATATATTTACTGAGTGCTAATTATGCGCCACTCGGGGGATGAGAAAATGATTAAGATATTGTTCCAGTGGATATGCTCCCTCCCTCTCTGTCTCTCTCACACACACATATGTACACACACATAATTAGTCACAAGGGAGGCCATGGTAAATGCTACCAGGAAGGCACCACAAGGGACCATGGGAGCTTTCTTGTGGCCTGCAGCCATGGTTCCTATTTGAAAATTCATGACCCTGCCCTGATACCATGTGAGAATGTCAAGGCTATGGGGTACAGTGACTGCTTATCCCTCTACCAGTGGCTCTGAAACTTTCTGGCTTTGGGATGCCTTTGCACATCAGAAAATCATCAAGGACTCCAAATAACTTTTGTCTTATGTGATTTATATCTATCAATATTGATTATATTAACATTTAAGGCTGAGAAAATTTATTTATTTATTTATTTATTTATTTATTTATTTATTTATTTATCTATCTATTTAAAAGATTTTATTTATTTGACAGAGAGAGAGAGAGAGAGAGAGAGAGAGAGAGAGAGAGAGAGAGCGCACAAGCGGCAGGCAGAGGAGAGGAAGAAGCAGACTCCCCACCAAGTAGGGAGGCCTATGTGGGACTCGATCCCAGGATCCTGGGATCATGACCTGAGCAAAAGGCAGACGATTAATTGACTAAGCCACCCAGGTGCCCCAAGGCTGAGAAAATTTCAAACCACAAGAATACACAGGCACACATCTCATTAGCCTTCAGAGCTATCGCATCATCACATGACACAACCTCTGGAAAACTCTGTAAACATAGAGAGAATGGGAGTGAAAAAAGGCATACTGTGTCTGAGAACTAGATAAAAGTGGTTTTGACTTGGTGGACTCGCTTGGGGCATCCCCCCTCCCCAACCACACCTTTCTGAGTTGCTGTCCTTCCATAATGACAGGTTGCTAAGTCTGTCCCTGTGTCCGTCCCTTCCACCCTCTCTCTTCACCTCCCTCCTGTCCTTTCTCTCATTTTGCTCTGAGGTCCCAAAGGTTTCTTCTCGCTCTTATCAGCCAGTGCCTATGTGTGGCAGCATTCCTGCTTCCAAATCTCTCCTTGCTTCTGATTTGAGGTTTGTTGCAATTGTTTCTAAAGAACGAACAACTAAGTTCCGAGTGAGTTCTCTGCATTGAAAAATGGGAGTTACAGTACCCAAGGTTTGGTAACAACGTTTAAAATGTTTTCCCTGATTGTTAATGGGATTCCTAACATGGGACCCTGAATTTTTTTTTTGTTTTGTTTTTAGATTTTTCTTTATTTATTCATGAGAGAGATACACAGAGAGAGAGGCAGAGACACAGGCAGATGGAGAAGCAGGCTCCCTACTGGGAGCCTGATACGGAACTCGGAACTCGATCCCAGGACCCTGGGATCACGACCTTAGCCAGAGGCAGACGCTTAAACACTGAGCCATCCATCCAGGTGTCCTGGGACCCTGTGTTCTAAGTGTTCTTTTTTTTAAAAAAAGATTTTATTTATTTGAGAGACAGAGTGCACAAGTGGTGGGGAGGGGCAGAGGGAGAGGAAGGAGCAGAGTCCCCTCTGAGCAGGGAGCCTGACTTCACTTGGGCTCCATCCTAGGACACTGAGATCATGACCTGAGCCAAAGGCAGACACATTTAAGCCACTGAGCCACCCAGGCACCCCCTAAGTGTTCCTACTTAATGGAGATGTGATCACAAAAGTCCAGACAGAGCAGAGCAGAAGGAGGGCACCGAGTGAACCTGGGAGAAGCAGATGGGCAGTGAGGAACTGCCCAGTGCCCGTGATGCCTTCTGTAGCCTGGAAGGACCCAGCAGGCAGCAGGTGACTAAGGGAGAGTCACACAACATTTCTTTTTCTTTCTTTCTTTCTTTCTTTCTTTCTTTCTTTCTTTCTTTCTTTCTCTTTCTTTCTTTTTTTAAGATTTTATTTATTCATGAGAGACACACAGAGAGAAAGACAGAGACACAGGCAGAGGGAGAAGCAAGCTCCATGCAGGGAGCCTGACGTAGGACTCGATCCTGGGACTCCGGAACCACACTCTGAGCCAAAGGCAGACGCTGAACTGCTGAACTACCCAGACGTCCCCATACAGCATTTCTAAAGTCGGTTGGCGGAGGGAGCGTGAGCCACAGGGGAAGGCTCAGCCTGCAGGCAGCACATGGGCAAGGACCCTTCCCTAGAGCAGAGTGGTGACTGTGTGCTGGGCATCTAGGGCGCACCGTCTCATTTCATGCTCATAAACTGCACAGGAGGGATGTAGTGTTGGGCTCTGTGCCCACAAGGGACAGAAGGAGGGCTCGGAGAAGCGAGGCCACCCAGTCAGTAAGTGGTAAGGTCTTGAGCCCAGGTCTGCCTGACGTCACTGTGTACACCCTGTGCCTGAATCTT